AAAATCCTACAATGTTAAAATTTAGGAAAGGCTATTTGACTGAAGGAGATTGCATCTGACTATTATACACACATTTCAAGGGGGCTTGCTTGCTCTCATTTAGAAATGAATGGTTCCACACTGGAAACTCTTGAATCTGAACACACTAATAATTGTAAGAGGGTGTGTATGAAGGGGGAAGAAGATGGAAGGCCTCATAGCTGTATTAGTTAGAACTGACTTCTAAGTTCTGTTGCATGGAGCACAGAAATCTAGCAAGGTGACTCTCTTGAGATTCAGTACGTAATGTTTCAGGCAGCTTGTGCTGCTAGGGGTTCTGTAGCTGAAATTCTCATAATCTGCTGGAGGCAAGGGTACTGCTGCTGGACATCTGTCAAAATAAAAAGCGTAGGCATGGTCTACATTAGAGTTAGGATGTCAGGCACCATACGTTAACCTGGTTATGTCATAGCACACAGTACGGCCATGCTCCTGCCTATGAAGAGCTCTGATACACCAATATAAGCCCTACGGCTCCCATGGAAGAGGAGCTGTGTTTGTGTAAGCAGGGTGATGCAGTGTCCCGGTACACACTTCATTACTTACCTTTGCTGTGGGCTGTCATTCTTGCCAATTTCACGGCTCCAGAAATTAACAAAGTCCAGGCTTGGGATGCTCTCTAGCTAGAGCCTAGCGATGCCCATCCCAGGCCCCACGCGAGGTGAGAAGCCTGGATCGCTATTCCTGGCTTGGAACTGGCAAGCCTGGAGGTTGGCTGGGCTCCATCGGGGAGCTGAGCCCTGTGGTCATGTCTCCACTTACTGGAGGAGCGATGCTCCAACAATCAATCTTCCGGGGTTTGATTTAGTGGGTCTAGTAAAGACCCACTAAATGGAATGCTGAGGATGCCTCTCACTAGTAGTCCTCGCTGTCGATGAGTGTTTTTCCCATGGACCTCCTATTGCGGGGCTGCCCCAGAAAATCAATGCAAGGTACGTCGAGTCCAACTAAGCAATTAGAGTTGTGTATCTTGCATCAATTTTCACTGCCAGTCTAGACCTGGTCTCACTCTTCTCTCCCCCCCCCACACACACTCTCTCTCTTCTCTCCCCCCCCTTCAGTCAGAGGAAACACTCCTAGTGAGGACAGACACCACTGACAAAAAGAGACACGTGTAGCCATCAGCAATAAATGGCTAAAAGTCAGCCTAACGCAAGTCAACGTCAATGTGAATTTGTAGTTTAAGCACATCAAAGACTAACTGCATCCTAAGGTTTCTTTTGGTTAGACATTCCATGGTGCTCAAAATCAATATTTAAAATTCAGTTAAGCCAAAAAAAATTTAGTTAAACTACTGGCGAGGTTGGGCTCATTCTTAATCCAAATCAGTAAGGACATTTGAATATTTTTCTTGACTACATAAGTAAAACTGAGACTCTACTGCCATGAACTGATGGGTTTTACTGGATACAGAAGCTGGAGTTTCTTTAATGTAACTGGTATGGTTACAGAATTAATTTTGGGCAGATAAGTCAAATTTTCGTACATGTGCTTTCTAATATCCCATTGTTTTATAGTTCCCCACATGACAGACTAGATTTCTGGCAGAAACAGGACATATTACTGTAAACAGTGTGAGGAGACTGAGAGGAAGGGCGTGATTTATACATGAAAACTGTTGTAATTGTGGAAGTTGAGGAAAAGGGGAAATACAGTGATTCTACTAGGCAGTTCTTTCATAGCTCTAAATCCTTTACACAGTGCGGGTATGAGGAAGGCCAAAACTGATTGAAGCAATGATTTTGCTAGAAATCTTGCCTTTTCTTCTTTGCTTTTTTAGTTGTCTGAAGTCCAGATCAGAACTATTGACCCAAAAGTCTCTCAAAATCATCTGCATCCAAAAGTATAAGGGAACAGTACACCAGAGTCCAAGAGACAGCCCGATAGGGTAGTTTTATAGTTTGAAAATGAAGTTTGGATCACATGTTCCCCTTCCTGGAGTTTCAACTTAGTTTAGCGCTCTGTTTTTCCATGGTAGAGTTGAATGGAGTTTAATGGCTTCCTTGGCTGAGCCCTTTAAAAATTAAGTGCATGTTTGCTCAGCATGGACAATAAAGATCCAAGGACTGTGTCAGTGTGGATTTGTTGCAGCTTTTTTTTTCTCCCTAGAGTTGACCCTTCTTCTGTTGCTGGGCAATTGCTCTCTGCCTTCCACCTCATAGGTAGCTGCATTTTTTTGTAGGGTATGGATCTCGTTTATACCACTCTTGGCTTGGGGCCCTTTGAGGTAGAAGGGTCTGTATACATTAAAATGTTACATTGAGATTTGATCTCAATTAGGGGTTTGGAATGGGTCCTATATGAGGAGAGGTTAAAATGACTGGGACCTTTCAGTTTAGAAAAGAGGAGGCTTTGGAAAGGGTTCAGAAAAGGGCAGCTAAAATGATGAGGGGTTTGGAACAGGTCCCATATGAGGAGAGGTTAAAGCGACTGGGGCTTTTCAGTTTAGAAAAGAGGAGACTGAGGGGGGATATGATAGAGGTCTATATAATCATGAGTGGTGTGGAGAGGGCCAATAAAGAAAAGTTATTTATTAGTTCCCTAAATAGAAGAACTAGAGGACACCAAATGAAATTAATGGGTAGCAGGTTTAAAACTAATAAAAGAAAGTTCTTCACACAGCGTGTAGTCAACCTGTGGAACTCCTTGCCAGAGGAGGCTGTGAAGGCTAGGTCTATAATAGAGTTTAAAGAGAAGCTAGATAATTTCATGGAGGTTAGGTCCATAAAAGGCTATTAGCCAGGGGATAAAATGGTGTCCTTGGCCTCTGTCAGAGGCTGGAGAGGGATAGCAGGAGACAAATTGCTTGATCATTGTGTTCGGTCCACCCTCTCTGGGGCACCTGGTGCTGGCCACTGTCAGTAGACAGGATACTGGGCTAGAAGGACCTTTGATCTGACCCAGTACTACCGTTCTTATGTTCTTATGATTGTGACCCACCTCATTATGGGAGCGGCTACAGTATTATTGAAAACCGGGATTGAGTTGCTTGCGTGATACCAAAAGATTTGCTGGTGCTGTTTAACATAATGAAACGGACTGTGTTATCTCAGTAGTGGACATTGCTAAGGAGTGAGCACTTTCCTGCATCAGTGAGGAAGTGCTGACAAGCCGGTCACAAGTTAAAATGTAATATTGCTCCATATAGTTCTCTGCGGTCTTTGCAAATGTCTGGCTACCCACTCACCATTGTTTTTTTATAAGTGTCATTCACATTGTGCACAAACGCTAAATAGTTCTGATTCTAATAAGAATGAGAAGTGTCCAGTTCAGGAAAACCCAAAAAGTCTAACTTGGGACAAATAATGTTTATTTTTTTTCTAACTTACAAGGAACAGGGACCAGATTTTTCATCTTTTGCTTTAACAGTTATGTAAATTCAGTTATAACTAAGCCAATGTGATAGAATGGCTCCTATAACCTGCTTAGACAGTATAGCATCTGATTTTTGAAATCACTAGATTAAAATCTTTCTAGATTATACTGTTATGTTTATTCATCAGCAAACTATTGCTACCTTTGTTACCACTGTAAATATCACACTGTTGTCATAATACATGAAGCATGATGTAGATACACATCTTTCAGTGTGTACTAAACTCTCACATTGTCTGGCCTGTGCTGTCTTTCCAGGGCTTTATAGGCTGTTTGTGTGCATAGGATTTGTGATTTTTTCCCTCCCCTAAGACTAAAGGCTCCTGGTCACGTTCTTGTCTTGGTCATATTAGTTTGTTTTCCCATTCTAGAAATAACTCACTTGCTCGTTCTTTCCCCACTGTTGTGACTGATTAATGATTACTCGTTTGCTAACTCTTCCCTTATGACCCTGGGAGAGCCTTGTGGCTCTCGAGCACTTCCTGTATTCACCGATCAAGTGAAGCTAAGCTTACCCCCGGATGCAGGTGTCCCTTTTGGGAGTTATAGGGATTCTAGTGCAATAACTGTAATCATGGTTGGAAAGTAGTTTCCTGTTGTCAGCATTTGCAGAGTTATGTTCTACATATATAGCTGTAATGTCTTAGTGCCAAAGATGTCCCATTACAAGGTGCATAATAAAACCAACCCTGTAAACTGCTGGGTTAATCTCATGATTCCCATGAGTCAATATATAGTACCCTTGGTTTGGAGGACTGTTCAGGAGTAGCTGTGAAATATCCACATTGCTGAGCAGCTTAGTTATACCGACCTTAACCTCTTGTAGGCTGCACTATGTCAACAGAAGAGCTTCTCTCTTTGGCATAGCTATTGCCATTTGGGGAAGTGGGTTAGCTATGCTGAGAGCCCTCTCCCATCTGTGCAGCAGGATCTTTTCATAAGTGTTTCAGCTGCATTGGTGAGCTGCTTTGATGCAGTGTTTTTAATGTCTTCCTACTCTTGTCTAAACATTGGCTTTAGACATCTGTGCATGTCTCGGTCTCAAGTCTGAGGAGTAATGTACTTTCTGGGAGCTATAGTGAATATTGTGTAACTTCTGGGTTGCAAACTAAAGTGAAACACCATCTTTTGTGGTGTCGTCCTCTAGCGTCTCTTGGGATGGTGCTGAAAGGTTCCCTTCCCTCAATAGCTGGCATGGCATCTCAGAAAATGATTTGCAAATGCATTGTATCATAAGGATCAACAGTTTTTGAGCTAGCGAGATTCTCATCTGTTCACTAGGGATGTAAAATCCAGTTTAATTGGATAACTGATTAAACATATTTAAACATTATTTAACTGATTAACCGTTTAAAGAGAGGACGAGTTGGACCCCTCCCACCGCTGGACTTGTGGGATGGTGACCTTACCACAGGCCAGAGCTGCTCCAGTCTGGCTGGATCAGCCTTTGTCCATGGTGAGCCGCTTAGCAGGCGGGGAGTTGCTCCAGCCCCCACCGGTTAACCTTAACCAGTAAACCTTCACAGTTAAGACTTGAGGTAATGGTATAAAGTGATAACTTGCTGCTTTGATCGCTGTCAAGATTAATGCCTTCAGTGAGTTACTACTGACCTTATCCTATACTTCAAAAGTTGCTACCAGTGGCTTCTTAAAAGTTTGGAGTTAATTCTATAGTATCTCTCATCTGCTACAAACTGTTTGCAGTTCATAAAATGTTTGTATGCATCACATTGATTACCTTTCTGATGGACTAAAATGGCAGTTACTTCTCTGCATGCAGCACAGTTACACCATAGTTTTGGCTACGTGGCAAATCTCGAACAGGGAATCTAGATAGTTTACTGATGTAAACTTGCATAATATGGTCAAGTTTAATTACAGAAAACTAATAGCCATTCTCTAGTCACAAGTGGCTTCTCCAATGCTGCAGTGTCCTGTAACATCACTTGAGGGCATTGGCCATATGGTGACTCAAAAAAAAGAATGCTGGTTAGACTCACCAGCACTACTTGCTGTCCTGCTCACACAGTTTCCACTAAATAGGGACAGTTGCCGAGATTCAGAGGAGATTAGACCCCATAGTTGCAAAGGAGGGAGAGGTTTGCCTATCTATTCAGCATAGAATGCCTGTACTGCTTTAGAATATGTTGTCTGACTTGCACCTTTTATATTTCAGCATATAAAACCGTATCCGGCGTTAATGGTCCACTGGTCATCTTGGATCAAGTTAAGGTAAAAATTACTCGAATGGAATCTTCTTTTGAAGGAGACTGTGCCGAAAAGCTGGCTTGCAGTTCATGCCAAGTCTGCATTGGCACTTTACAGCGCTGTAACTTTCTGGCTCAGGGGTGTGAAACGCCCTTCTCTGAGCACAGCCCTGTAAAGCGCCAGTGTGAACCAGACTGCTGCGCTCTCACCACTGTTAACCACCTCTGCGAGGGAGTAGCTTACATAGAGCACTGGCCAGAATTGTAGGCAAAGCCCTAGAGACACATTTAAAGTCTTTAGCTCTGCATTCCTTGGGTCCTGGGATGTAGTTTAAACACAAGACCTTGTTTATATTGCAAACACTCAGAGCTAAATGGACTTTGGGACAGGCTGAGAAGCTGTCAGCACCTTGGTTGGGGAGGGTGAAGGTGAGGAAAGGAAAGGACTATAATTCTACATTTGAGAAAACTGGGGAAACATGCTACAGTTAGTTGAACAGTGTAAACTCTAATGCATGTTCAATTTTATCAGACAATGTTAATGAGTCAAATCTTGCAAAGTATTAGATACATGAACAAAGGAAATATTGTAATATTTTAGCGTGTGCTTATCAAATATTTGGGAAGAGTTATGAGGGAAGGGGTATTTTTTTTATGGGAGCATTGTGGGAGTTATTGGTGTAGCATGGTACATAAGGTACAATTTTCCATTGCTAGTGTTCTTGGCTTTTCTTTAACGTGGATCTCTGGGCTAATGCCATATGGCTTCGAATAAACTCGAAACTACAATGACTTTTTTCAAAAGAACAGTTTCAGGTTGTCTTTGGACAAGTTTTATTTTTTTCTCGACAGTTTGTTAAATCTACCACTCTGTTGAAAGAGCTACATTTTTGTCAGCAAACCTTAACTGCCTTTAGTTTCCCTTTGACTGATCTGTGTAAAAGATACGGTAGCTTTTTGTCTCAAGATCTATTGAATCTGTTATGGATAATGTGGTAACGCTAGTTTGCGGATTTTAACTCTCTCCCACTGTTTTACAGAGTGTTTTCTGCATTAGTTTCCTAGGTATGCAGAGATTGTTCACTTGACGCTTCCTGATGGCACAAAGAGAAGTGGGCAGGTTCTAGAAGTCAGTGGCTCCAAAGCTGTAGTTCAGGTAAACTAAGAACAGAATTGTCCCATGAATGCTTTTCCTTAGCAGGCATCAGTCTGGATTATGGACAAATCTGAAGTCTTTGTAACTTAATATAATGTTCTTGAGTCAAAACATAGTGTAAATGTAAAAATTCTTGGCAATCATTGGCAGGTGGATCTGAGTAACGTTCAGTTATTGCTTTTGTTTTAAAATTAAGGAGAAAGTTCTCTGATCGCAATAGAATCTTGTAGACCTAAGACAGGAAACTGTACTCCATCTCCGCCATTAAGCATGTACTGCTACAATGTAGATCCATGGCAGAGCTTCAGTGTATCTGAGACACCTCTGTGTAGCTCTCATAGGAAGTGTTAAATAGTTACCACTGTAATCCTGCTTAGCGCAATTCCTTCACTGTAGGTAGAAGAAAATGATTCTAAAGTTTTAAAGGAAAGATCCCTGATGACCACTGGCATTCTTGGCAATCTTCTTTCACAAGTCATGTGTAAAATAACTTTTTATACAGTGCTGCTTTCGTAACATATCTATACAAATGAACAGTCCCTAAATGGTCTAGGAAAGAACTATTGTATTACACAAGTCTATCTTGGTTTTGCTACTTGTTGTTAAATCCGTTGTTAGATAATCCCTGACTTGTGTATGTATCCTGTCTGTTGCAAATCTTTGTACAATGCTTTTATCTATCTGTGCTAAAGAAACATTTATCCCTTTCCCTGGTGTGTCTCCTGATATATTGCAGGTATTTGAGGGAACTTCAGGTATTGACGCTAAGAAAACATCATGTGAATTTACTGGGGATATTCTCCGAACCCCGGTATCTGAGGATATGCTTGGTATGCACTAGATCTTGCTCTTTAGATTGAACTGATTTATTTTCATGTATTATCGCTACAGATGGAAAAACTAGTTCTCTACTGTCCTGTTCACATGATCGTAATTATGTGATTGTTTTTGCAGGTCGTGTGTTTAATGGATCAGGAAAACCTATTGACAGAGGTCCCATTGTCTTGGCTGAAGACTACTTGGACATTATGGGTATGTTTTTATTAAAAGTCTGTTTTGGTTTTTGGATGGCACAGATCTTGCTTTCTGCTTTTAAATACTTAGTGACAGGCTTCTAACTGAACTCATGAATGCTAATTGGCAGCACAAATGGAAACAGTGGTGTGGAAGAGTATTTAACCAAGTACATCATTAGTAACATCAAAGAAACAAAGTGACCTGACTTAGGTGACCTCTATGCATCCTCTCCCAAACGAGAAGGTTTGAGACTATCCAGTTAATCTGTCAGTTGGCTGAAGCAGAGAGAAAATCGGGGGTGCGCTGAAGTGGTACAGAGAGAAAATGGGAAGGGTTCCTTTTAGTTGGAACTTCTGGCACTATTCATGGTGCCCATTTCTAGTAGGGAGCAAGTGTCTGACTTTTGACCTGACTTCCATTATGTTCTTTGCACAAAATACAGTGACAAGCCACTTTTCAGAGGCCTCTGCAAATGAAACAGTCACCCTGAAATCATGTAGCAGGGTGTACCAAGTACTGAGTGTCCAAGCACTTCTCAGGAAGTTGTTCAACTGTTGAGTGGTACCCTGGTCTGGTTTTTTATAGTAATGCAGGGCATGGGAGTGGTTCTTAATTAGGGAGATTGCTTTGGTTAAAGTGGTTTAATAGTGTTAATTGTAATAGGATTGTGGTAACCTTCTCCCAAGGATAAGAGGGTGTTAATTGCCCTCCATGGACTATCTTGTCCTTTTTGTCTGCATGCATATAAACGCCAAACTGATAAATGATGTCATGACCAATTTAAAAAAAAAAAAAATCAATGGGTGAATGTCTAACTTGAACCACAAGTGTCTGTCAAGCTAAAGCATTTGCGGTTCTAAATGTGATGCATTTTCAAAGCCTTATTTTGAAGCCTTGCCTTGAAACCTTTTTGTCTAACCTGAGCAATGCACAGATGAATAATGTGGTGGTTTCTCTGTGAAAATACAATAGGTCAGCCAATCAATCCTCAGTGTCGAATCTACCCAGAAGAGATGATTCAGACTGGCATTTCGGCTATAGATGGCATGAACAGCATTGCCAGAGGACAGAAAATTCCCATATTCTCTGCTGCTGGTTTACCCCATAATGAGGTGGGTGCGTTAATGGAGTTCTGAGAGCTTGGGGCAAGGGGTAGCTAACGGAAAACATTCAGTTCAGTGGCACAAATAACTTAAAGTAAATGAGTTGTGAAGTTATAGTGGGGGAGAGCTAAGAATATTGGGGTTTAAAATAGACAAAGTCCTGCTCTCCCAAGATGCTGCTTTATCAAATACTGATTGGCCAGATATCATGCCAGGCTCGTAATCTTCCTACGCTAGCACCCTTTCTCTGCCTTCCTTTTTCTCTTGCTTTTGGCCTCAGTGCAAAGATCTGGGAGACTTTTTATTTCTGTCAAAAAGTGGTTTATTCCATGAGTTAATCTAGTCTTTACAGTACATAAACACACTTGCAACTTACTGCAGTTGATTTATGCAAGAACTCCTACACTCCTCTCAGATTGCAGCTCAGATTTGTCGCCAGGCTGGCTTAGTGAAGAAATCTAAAGATGTGATGGACTACAGTGAAGAGAACTTTGCCATTGTGTTTGCTGCCATGGGGGTAAGTACTGTTAAGCTCCTGTACATGATTAAGTATTGGAAAGAGACCAAGTTTAAGTACTGAGGAAGACTTAACAATCAATCCAGGTTGCTGTTAACTGGAGCTATGAGAATATACTCCTTTTTTAGAGGTGCATTTCACATTTTAGATGAGTCTATTATAGCTGTTGTAAAAACAAAAGGATTATCCAGCATGATGAATGGGCCTATCAGTCTGACTCGATACTGCCTGAAGGGGGGTAGTATAGTATCTTTAAGAATGGGTGATTCCATTTTAATTGGAAAAAGAGAACATTTTAAAGGATCCTCAGGCACGGTATTTTAAAAAACATGATTAACTCTGTAAATTGCCCAATCTGTGCCAGAATTGAGGGGAACATTTTCATGTATCAGGATATCGCGTTGCTGTCTAACAGGCCACCCCACTAGAAAACTAAACACTCAGATTCTGAACATATTGTATTGTAGTGTCATTGCGTTGTCACCTCCTCAGGTTAGGAGGAGGCAGAATTGTTGTCATTTTGGTCTCATGCTAAATTTCATGGTAGACCGTGCTGACTGAAAGCCTAGCAGATAATTCAGCATTAGGATGATAATGTCCATGCATCCAGGCTAGATCTCTCTGGTGTTACGCAGGACTTATGTCTGTCAGAGGATTATTTTATGTGGCTTCCTCTAAACTGACAATTGTCTTCATCCGACTAAAGTTAGTCTTGAGTGTAAACGAGATACTTCATCTTCCTGCCACATTTGATCCTGAGGTCTGATTCCTTTGGCAGAATATTGCACTAGGGATCAACTATCCAACATTATTCTTAGTCCCGGGTTAACTGAAAGCAGGTACTGGTAACAGAGATATTAAAGGCTTCCTCCAGCTCTGAACCAATGTTTTACACAACTTTATAGAATGGGAAGTGAAACAGTTTCTTGTTTGCGAATGACTGCTTCATCCTGTGGTTTAGGTAAACATGGAAACCGCTCGGTTCTTCAAATCCGACTTCGAGGAAAATGGCTCCATGGACAATGTGTGTCTCTTCTTGAACTTGGCCAATGATCCAACGTAAGTAGTAACATGGCTGCCCACACCAGAAATGTAGAGAGCTAGTGTACTGGAAAAAAAATTATTCTGGCATCCAAAAGCTGCTGGAACCAGTTCTGAGAACCTTAGAATGATAGGGTAACGAGAGACCACAATGGTCCTCTAGTCTAGCAGGATTTCGTTGTCCGCCATCCAAGAGAGGGCTGTCTAGCTCCTTTGGAGGACTTCAAGTGAAGAAGCTCCCACAACCTCCATTTCCCTTACAAGCCAGTAATGTGGCTTGTCAAATACCTCACTTCAGTGACCCTCTGCTCTGAGGTACCACAGACCAGGACGCTAATTATGTGCATTGCTATTACCAGGGCTTGCCAAGCGGCCGCGAGACCTGCTCGCCAGCTGCGCGGTTCTGTGCTGGCTGTTCCGGGTTGTAATCTACTCGCCACGGGCAAGTAGATTACACTATTTGTCGAGCCCTGGCAATTACTATACTGAGTAGGTTTCACAGGGCTTCTAACCAATGTTCCCATCTCATTCATCCATGTGCAGAATAAATGTGATGTGCACCGCAGCATATGAGAGTGGAGAATAGAAACACATGCTGCCAACTGGGGACACTGTGGGTGCTCTGCTAATCAGCTGGGAGGCATTTGAATTGCTCCTGGGTGGCTGCCCACTCAGCTTACAGGGAACACTGCTCCTAACCGGTTTCCTCTCTTACTCTTGAGTTGTGTTGCTGTAACCTGTACTGAACATGCCGTTCTGTTCTTTCAGCATTGAGCGTATCATCACCCCTCGGCTTGCTCTAACCACAGCAGAGTTCTTGGCCTACCAGTGTGAGAAGCACGTGCTGGTCATTCTGACGGATATGAGCTCTTACGCCGAAGCGTTGCGAGAGGTACTTGTTCCTGTGTAGCAGCTGCAGGTGTCAGCATGGTTAAGCGCCCTGCAGAACGGGAGCAAAATGTGGCTGAGTAACTTAGTCAGCCGAGCTCTAGTTTTTCAGAGCCTTTTCCGAAGGGATACACACGCCATTGGGGGGGAAAGAAAGCTGGCCTGTCAGGTTTAAAGTTATTCCAGACAAATTAATCTGCAGCAGGGGATGGCAGTGCAGAGTTCACTTTCCATATTCCGTGTTAAACCAGACAAATGGAAAGTTGACTAGAAATAACACACATGAATCTCCCACTTCAAAACTAATGTATCCAGTTGCTTATGGCTCTAGCTGTGGAAATCATTTAAAAATCACTTACTGATGTTTGCATGCAAGGATAAGCTATTTCCTGCATTTTTCAGGCTTCAGAGACCAAGGTGGTGTCATCAAGCACTGCAAAATTGGTTGGTCTGCCTGGATGTAATTTATTCGTAGTGGAGATTGATTCAGTAGTTCCTTGTCAACCTTCCAGTCTGTTTCTGATCAGCATTTTAGGATCCCTGTTTTACACAAGGAATGATCTTCCTGCATAGCTTGGGGTGCTCTCTTGTGGAGCTGAGTAAAGATGTATTTTGGCGCCACCATGTGGCAAGTCCTGTGAATCTTTAATGTAACTCTTGGGTGTGATGGCAGCTTTGTGGTAAGGAGCTTTGAGTAACTGTGCCTGGATTGCCTGCAGGTTTCAGCAGCTCGAGAGGAAGTGCCTGGCCGGCGTGGCTTCCCCGGTTATATGTACACTGACTTGGCCACTATCTATGAGCGCGCGGGGCGCGTGGAAGGCAGGAATGGCTCCATTACTCAAATTCCTATTCTTACCATGCCCAATGATGGTGAGTCCTGGCCACTGGCTTTCCCTGTGAATAGATTATCCGCTTTTTCACGTACGGTCGTATAACATCCGCAACGTCTTGGATGTCTTGGTACCATTGCTGTGGGCATTCCGTCGGAGGGCAGCCTGTTGGCTGACTGAGGATAATCATGTGATGTTTGATTAATACCAGTCAGGAGGCTGGAACTTCTAGTTTTAATCAGAGGACTGGAAGGGTTCTTGAGAGGTCTTCTAGTCCAGTCCCCTTCACTCAAAACAGAACCAAGAATTATCTAGACTCTCCCTGACAGGTGTCTATTCAATCTGCTTTTAATCTCTCCTGATGGAGGTTCCACCACTTCCACAAACATTAAGTTCCTTCCCCTTACTTGGGTACTGGAGCTCCTCTAGACTTTGGAGAAAGATCTGCAACCTCAACGTTGGCCAACAGAAACTGAACCTTAACAATAACACGTATCCATCCTATTGTGCACCATATAACATCTTCTCAAAGGAATCAGATCGGTCATGTAGCGCTGGGGCTCAGAGGTTGCAATATTTTAGCTGTGGTGTTCTTGTTAGAGACGCGAGGTGTGACTGTCTCTTATTGTTACCAACTTCTGTTCTTGACAGGGATGTGCTTTTGAGTTTCCACAGAGCTCTGGAGGCTTGAAAAAGAGCTCTGTGTAAGCTCAGAAGTTTGTCTTTCACCAACCAAAACTGGTCCAGTGCAAAGAATTACTTCACACATGTTCTCTCTAGTGCTCGTATATGGGCAGTCCAGATCCCAACTGGCTCAAAAAATGCATGTAAAAAATTAGAAGTACTCTAACCTAGCCTCCCTCCCAAATCGGTTGGGAGGTTAACCTATGAAGGGCATTGGATTGCCTCACAGCTTTGAAAAAAATCTGCACTTGCATAATATCTTGTATACAAAATACCCCTCCAGGGAGAGGAGAGCTGTATGGTGTATCCTTCTGCATGGTAAAGCAATTGCAGATGTTCAGACAATTGGGAAAGTAGCAGTTTTAAAATGACTGGAATGGATATAAAAAGCACGGTCTGAAAACTAACAGAGCCACTTCCTCTATCAGATATTACTCATCCCATCCCTGACTTGACTGGATATATTACTGAGGGGCAGATCTATGTAGATAGGCAGCTGCACAACAGACAGGTAAGTACCAATATTAATTCTGTGCCATCTTAAATGAAGAGTGTTCTGTGGTATCTTAGACTAACAAATACATTATCATGAGCTGGCGTGGGTAAAGCCCACTTCATCGGATGCGTTAGAGTGGAAATGACACACTCCTGAGTGCATATGGCAAAAGCAGTTAATTGTAGGACCAGTGTGAATTATGCTAATTGAGTCAGGCTGGATGCGTCCTATTCATAGCTTTCGATGTGTGAATGTGAATATCAAAGGCAGGGGAAATTGCCTTTGTTGTTGGTTAATATTCAAGTCCAAGTTGATAGTGTCGAACTTGTAAATGATTTCCAGTTCAGCAAGTCTTCCTCTGTAATTGGGTGATGAAATGAAAAGTTCTTAGTTTGTTTTAGCCTGTTTTCCATTGGTAGCCTCTTCTGACAAAAGATGCTAAAAGAAGGACTTGCATACTGGTCGCCTGGCTAAAGTTGTAGGCCCTCGGCATCTCTAGAAGTGGGCACCTCTGTGGGAAGAGATGCCATGCATTGTAGACTGGAAGCCTAAAAGCAATTGTCAGAATAGAACTGGTGTTTGAATTATTTGGCATAAAGTGTCCACTTTGACTTTGTTGCAAAAGTCAGTTTAGCAAGATAAGATTACAAAGGCCCTCTTTGTGTGTTGACAAATCCTTTCCTTGCAATTCCATGCTAGAACTTGAGGGACAATCCAAAATGCCTTTTAAAGGTAGATACTGACCATTCCTCCTCAGCCTTTCCAGGTCGCGCTATTACTTTCTGTTCTCAGGAGAATTTTTTATCTTCCTGAGCTAACTTGGGAAGCTACATTTGTATCTGAATTAAGGCAAACTTTCAGAAACAATATTTATCAACTCGTGATGCTGCTGTGAGTGAACTAGCAACACTAAACACATGGAAACAGCAGATACCAGGCTCCTGGCTTTCTGAACAGTGGCGTGAATGCCACCAACTTTCTCTCAAGTGTCTATGCTACGAACCGAATATAGGGTACACATAGGAGAGAAATTTCTTGCCATGTAGGCGCTTATTCATGTCCCTAACCAGGCATGTTGAACTTCCTCCTGTTTTTAGTGCTATCCTCTAACTTTCTTTTCTCCTCTCAAAGATTTACCCACCCATTAACGTGTTACCCTCCTTGTCTCGACTGATGAAGTCTGCCATTGGAGAGGGTATGACCAGGAAGGACCATTCAGATGTTTCCAACCAGCTGGTATGCATTACTCTCCTCATGTAGAATCCGTACATACGCCTTTGCTTTCTTCTATCAAGCACCCAGAAAAAGCTCGTAGGTGAAAAGATCACGTTCCAGTCTGAAGCAGCTCCATTGATTCTTTAAACTTGAGATTCTTCTATAGTACCCTCTTTTGTACCAATCCGTTCGAAAGGTGACCACTCTGCTTGCTGGGTGTGCTGGCCACTGAAAGCTTTTCCGTTACTGGGCTTTGTCCACAACACCAGTAGGCTCTCAATGTATCGATATGTGAGGTGGGGAGTTCTTTCCCAGCTCGTTCTGCCAAATGCTGCTGTCTTCTCTTTCCACACCAACCACTCTGCCTATGTCTTGTGCAGAGTGTTATCCCGCATGTGCTGCATATCCAGCTAGTTTTTGTTCCTTAAGTTAATCTAATACTGCTCTGTTCAGGTTCTTCATGTTGCACTGAGGTGTCTGGAGCAATGTCATGCTGCTTTTTGCTCTCTTCCCCTCCCTTCCATTCCTCAACTCTGTTTAAAGCCATTGAAGACTCTGGAATAGCAGCCCCAAATTCTTTGGTCCTACCCACCCAGTACGTGCGCTCTGGGCCATGTATTAAAAATCCACGTAACTCCTTGTAATACGAGTCAAACACCTCGTGATCCATCTTCTCGTTTGTTTCTCCTCCTGTCCAGTATGCCTGCTATGCTATTGGAAAGGATGTGCAAGCTATGAAGGCTGTAGTGGGTGAGGAAGCTCTGACCTCAGATGATCTTCTTTATCTGGAGTTTCTGCAGAAGTTTGAAAGGAACTTCATTGCTCAGGGTCAGTATGTTCGGCGCCCATGGGACACTGGTGCCGTGTTACACCTGGGGTGACCAGGTCTCGCCTCTGATGTTGACCCTTTGAGCTGTTCCCATAACTTAGTCTCTTCCTTCTTCAGGTCCTTACGAAAATCGCACTGTTTACGAGACCCTGGACATTGGCTGGCAGCTTCTGCGAATCTTCCCCAAAGAGATGCTGAAGCGAATTCCTCAGAGCACCCTGGCAGAGTTCTACCCCCGAGACTCCACTGCAAAGCACTAACTCCAGCTTCATCTCTAGCTCTGCACTGCTGCGAAAGCCTGTTTAGTTCCCTCTTTCATGTGTTGGTGTTTACTTGTCACTCCTGTAACTAAAGCCGAGAACAAGTGACATGTGGTGCCAGTGTTCCTGATGTGTTAACAGGGATTTAAAATATCCTTTTCCAAAGCCTGGATCTTCAGTGGTTTTGGCAAAATGCCTGAGGGGAAGAAGCTTCAAAGTCTCCTTTCTCTGTAGATGTATATACCTGCTGTTACTATAATTACGTCTTCTGGCCTGACTTCCTTGAAAGTGTCTCCTGAGAGGGATTGCCAGAAGCTGCCCGTGGTCTCTGAATCAGGAACAAATAGAACTAGTTATTTAGGAGGAGCCAAGGAGCAAATAGGGGACCCCTCTCTTGCCCGAGCATCTGTGCTCAGTCTGATCTGAGCATCAGCAGAGCAGTGGCACATGAATAGATGGTGCCGTGTCCTGGCCTGCTCTTGGAGTGACTAGCAAGAGGAAGGTTGGCTACATGGCACCAGAACACTTCACCGTGGGCTTCAGTTAGATCTTGGGGGGGGGTCTCTGAGCATCGTAGGCTTTGTCCTAGTCTTGGACAAGGGAGTCAATCAACCTGTTTAACTGCCCCCCGTGAAAAAGGTAGAGAAGCAGGGAACTTACTCCAACCATTCCACTCCCTGAAATATACAAGTCACTAATACGAATGCTAATGCCCAGTGCTGTCCTGAATCATGCAAACACTGAGAGTACAACACTGTAAACTGCCCAAAGCTTCGAACTCTCATTACAGAACCGAGCTGTTATCCCGTTATAGGAGACAACCGTATTCTACCAGGTCCTCCCAATACAATAGTGTCTGTGGGCTTCAATCTTGTAATTTAGAAGTCTTGTACTAAATGATGCAGAGGGGCAGAAGGCAACTCTCGTTGGCATGTGAGAGGATATTTTGAATTCTGTAACAAATCATTCTCTGGACGACATTTGGGGTTTGAACCGCACTTCCAAACATGGATTTGGCCAGCCAGTTCAGAGCAAGCCAAACAGCGACGTGTTTCCACCTCCAACCACTATCTCCGTGCTTGGAGTGATTTTCAGTAGGGTTCAAAGCCCAGTGCAGAGAGGGTTTTACAGTTTTTTTGTCTGCTTTCCATTTCTGGTCAGTTCATGGTGGGGTTTTTGTTGGGGGTTTGTTTGGTTTTTTTTGGCCTCTCCACACGTGTGTTGCAAACCATGCAAATACCTTTCTGGGCAGGTGTTAAACTCAGAGGTGCAATGTGACCTAAGCTGTGCCGATGACTCTGATTTCAGCTTGTCCCTGGTGTTACCCCTGCCGCTCTGTCCTATGCAAGTCTGACTTTATTGTTTGGTCTCTGTAACTTGGGTGCAATCGCAATTTCTTTCGTGCATTCCATCTTAAAAGTTGTCACTTCTATTTTTCTGGGGGAGGGGCGGAAATGGGCAGATGTAAGCATGAGAATATTTTAATGTAGAAAATGTGATATCTGAATAAGTTAAATATGAAAAATAAATGTTGAAGAAATCAAGTATC